GGGGAATAAGAAAGGCAAGCCCAGTGGAGATTATGGCAAGAATGAGATGTATTATTCCGTTTTGTCATCTGTTTAATTCAAATCAGTAATGTTGTTGATCTCAGCTGCTTAGTAGTTATGTTACTTTATTTTTCTCTGGAATTCTAGATCTTTTGGACACTTTCAAGCTCATGAATATGGAACAGCACATGGATTCTCAAATGACATTTCAAAGGGCAAGATTGGGTTTGCTAAAACCAGGCTCTCAGTGACCAAGGTGCAATGAAAAGTTTGTCCTTGCCTGAAGAGGATATGTTGTACTTATCTCATTTTCATTTTTTATATGAATTTGCAATAAACTTTGAATGTTGGACTCGAGACTTTGGGTGACTCTAAGCAACTTACTGATCAATATATCTAGATGCATTATTGTCCAAGCATGAGGTCAAGATGGCTGGATATTGGCCACACTCTTATTATGCCTCTTCATGGACGGCGACAAAGTCAAAGTTCTTCAAAAACACAGAAAAATAACAAGGCTAATATTCAGCCATCTCGACCGAGCAAGTCTGGTCAATAAAAGATTTATAAAATAGTAAAAGGATTTCAGGTCATTTTGGCTGGGAAGAAAGCTGACTGTGTTTGTAGTACAATAAACCCACAAGAGTCATCTATATATATATTTTTTGACTGTTTTTCATTCTTTGTGATATATCCCCATCATTGTCCAAACATCACAAACTTTGTAAGTCTGCCCAACATAATGTTTTTCTTGCTCAGGATCTTGGTATGCTGTACCAAGCATGCAAGATGGGCCCATCTTGCCTGCTTGTGTACCCAATTAGAAAACAAGATTTGCTAGTCATATTACCCGTAGGTACTGCCAGTGATATAATAAAGGAGAAGTCCCTTTATTTCCTACAACTTGTCCTTAAGTCTATACTCTGCTCCTAAATACCTTGAAAAGGAGCTTTATTTATGATTTGTTCCTTTTTGAATAATACTTCTTTTGTTTTTGTTTTCCATTTTGATAGCTGCAACATATTATCACAGCAATGTTAGTTGACAGTGGTATTCCTGCTTTGGGAATTTCAGTAAGTACAGCTAAGCTATACTCATCAAGTTCGCTCAATTGTTCAAGTCTCAAATGTGACAGTCTCTAAGTGAGAACAAAAACATTTTGTAATTAACAGCTATTTGCCAGAGCAAAAGAAGCTAGAGTGGAAAATATTTAGCGAGCTGCAAAGCAGTGGGGTAAATATCCACCACTAGTCACCAACTCTGAGGTGAATTGCTCTTTTAGTATAATAATAATAATAATAATAATAACCCTTTATTTGCCATAATCACTAAAAATTTACAAAAATCATGTTAAAAGGCTTAAAATGTCTGATAAAAATCTAAGAAAAGCTATTGGATACATGCTTCCATTAGTAACGATGATGACAACAACAATAATAATCATAATAATTCGGTTCTCTAGGATCAGACTCGTATCAGACCCAAACTAACTTTGATAACAAAAACGACCTACATTTTTAAATCGCGAAGGCAACTACTAGTTTGTATTGAAAGAATTTCATAACACGTGCATTGAAATTATCCCTATAAAAGTAAATTACATTAAAAAAAGTATACGAGAAGGGAAACGACACTCTTACTCTAAAAAGTGTAAAAACAAATTTTAAAAATGTCTAGCCTATATTTGCCCTAGCATTGTCAATTAAAAAATCTGTATCAAATGTCTCAAATGTTCTTCTTTTCTTTCTTGTACCTCTTAAGCAAAAGAGGGCGCATTGTAAGAGCACAAAGGAGATTTTGGCTCTAATCCAGGACATAGTGGTAGAGTATGTTTCACATTTCTTAATGGATATGAGTTCAGCTAAGCGTTTATGGTAAATTTTGCATTCAGTGCCC